TGACTCTTTATATAAGTATAGATTTATTATTTTATTTTTTTAGTAGTCTTTTAAAAACTCTTGAGGGAGAGCTTTGTCGCTCTTGTGGTCCTACCCGGCTCGATTCCAGATTAGTCGGTTCCCCTGTGGATCTAGAAACTGGAAGGTCTACCCAAAAAAAAAAAAAACAACTATATCATTTCGTTCTATTTATTTTAAAAATAAATAAATGCATGAACGAAAGTAAGCATTGCAGATGGTAAATGACAATTATTATTTAGTTTGTGCACAGTGCTTTCGTTATGAATTCACAGTCGAATATTAGCTAGAAACAATTAAATATGCTAATTGAGTCTAATAGTGAAATAGACTTCACCCAATCCTGGTTTGAATTATTATAATGGAAAAATAACTTCCTCGACCTCAAAAACTCCTTCGACCTCGAGCAGCCTCGTACCTACAAGAACTCGACACCGGAAAGAGGGTTTTCCGGTGAAGAACTTTCGATGCTTAAGTTAGTAACCACTCAAGATGATGAACAATATAATAAGTAAAAGTGTGTAAAGATGCAACCCTAAAACTGACCCACTACTTCCATTTATATAGGGTAGTGATGCTTTGTTCCCCAGGCTTGCTCGGGGCGTTGACCCGACAATCCTTGTTGCCAGTCCGTACGACCCTGTTGTGCCTGCAGGGTCTGTTTCAGAGGCGCAAACAACCCAATCTCCTCTTGACTCGTGGCCCAATCCTCTTATGAAATTCTTCAGGTAGATACTCTTTGGGGCCCCTCTCCGTGGTCGAACCCCTTTACCAGGTCGAAACCTTCATGTGGTAGAACTTATTCTTATTTATCTCTCCTATCTTCCGAATACAGTAAGGTCAATTCGACTTCTCCGCCATCTGTGTTTAGCTCGAGTACGGCTTCCACCGTAGAAAAAAATAAAGAAAAGGACAAATATAAAATTTGGAAGAAATAAATCATATGAGATGCGATATAAACCTATAAATTTTATTTTTGAAAGAATGAACGACATTAGTTGGTGTTAATGGCCGAGTTTTATCTCCATTTAAATGAGAGGAGAGGCTATCATTTCGTCACATAATCATTCTGTGAGTGTTTTTAACCTTTAGATATACATAAAAGTTAGTTATTGTAGATAATCAATGGCTAAAAACTCTCACAGAATGATTTTGTGACGGGATGGTAGCGTTTTCCTAAATGAAAAAGCACCTTGGTGTGTGAATGTTAGTCTTAGAGGAAATAATAAATGAACAAAAGAGCAAAAGCAATTGAAGGGTTCTTCATTTCACGCAAAATTATCATTAAATACCAAATTGTGGGGGGTTATTTTTTGACAGATTTATTTTCTATACCCATAGTTAAATGTGAAGATTGGTTTTGGAGATGAAGCTTAGATTGAAGCACAAATCCTTTTCGTTTAATAGGTGAAGAGAAAATGAAGACTCAATGAAGAACTAGTTCTTTCAACTTTAACCATGTTATAAGTAAATCAAGCCAAATTAAATGCAGAAGATGAGAAGTTTTGGTATGTTGAGGTGGTATACACAAATTAAACAGGTGAACTGAAATGTTTGGAAGGAAGTGGAGGAACTGAAGAAGCAAAGGGGCATAAGAGTTGTTCTATTGGGACTGTGCGATGATGTACCCGTTTTCCCTCCGTTTCTTACAGTTGCCAATGAAAAATCAATGGTGCACATTTTTTTCAAGAAAAAAATAAACAACTCAGATGGATTGATTTCAAATGCACGTAATTTTGCCATAGATTCTTCCAATTTACATTCCAAAAGGTGCAATAGACATTGTGCCTTGTAGTTGATAACTACCGCAAAGAAGTAATAAAGAGATTGATGGATATTCTACTTGTGTGTTATATCTATTTGTTTGTGTATCAATAATTATATGTATCGATATCTCGTAATCTTTCAACCATATACTCAATATGTGATGTAGCGCAGCGTCGAACAAAAGAAATGAAATCTCTCAAACAGTAATTTTTATTTCTACGATAAACTGCGTTCCTAGCAGAAAAGAAGAGAATAAATAGAGTTGATGATCTCCTAAATTCTCTAACTTGCGAGACAAGTAAATAAAAATAAATATTCTCCTAATCTTAATCAACAAAATAATAATAATAATAATAATAATAATAATAATAATAATAATAATAATAATAATAATAATAATAATGATGCAACTTAGATAATCAAATTAACACCGGAAGTCGATCGTATTTTTCCAAAAAAGCCATCGCGAGCTCGTCTCCATCATCCTCCCCCGGTTGAGAAGGATTCGCCCTCGAATCCGGAGCGAGCTCGTCTCCGTCAGAGTTATCACCCAGAAATGGCACCAAATGTTCGACGTTGAACACGTCAGAAGTGCAAATATGTGATGGAAGCCGGAGACGATAGGTTGTGGGATTGAGTTTCTCGACGATCTCGACCGGGCCAATTTTACGGACCGACAACCTGGTATACGCGCTAGCCGAAAAGCTGTTTGAAGGCAAAAATACCCACACATAATCACCAACGACAAAATTCACTAGTCCCGACTCTACGCGCATCGGCCCCACGTCCGATCCATTATTCTTAAAATAAACACCAGCACCCACATGGCTTATACTCCTACTACCAGGATAAATAAAAGGGCAATGAGCCATACGTTTGTCAACAGACAAAGATCCATGACAAGTGCTCACCCCAAAATCCATTATGTGCGCCACCACAACACCCAATATATTTATGTGTCATGTGCAGCCCCTCACGAACCACCCCAGGCTGAGGAAAATAATTATCCTCCAAACCAACCTCAGCATCGAAAATAGAAGCAGACACTACAGACTCAAGAGCTCCCGCGTGGGACTCCTCCGTAGATGCCTCAGGACATGTTAGCGGTGCACGTAAAGAGTTCTGCGACGAGATATGAGGGGAGAGATACGAACGGCGAAGAACCAAAGCACGACCAACATCTCCGTAAACGTGTTCTTCAACCGGTTCGGGCTCTTTGTCAAAAATTGGAGGGGCATCATACAAAACACCCTCGGGGCCCTCGGTATCGGCGTCCGCCATGAGTGCCCGAGAGCTGCTCCGGTGCGGGCAAGAGGCCTGTCAGTGACCAACTTCTCCACACGAAAAGCACCTCTGCGCGGCCCCTGCTCGCGAACCAGTCTGCGCAGCAGACGCTCCAAACCCTCCAGCAGCCCCACTTGAACCTCTAGGCGCTGAAAAATCGCGCAGTCCCGCCGCACTGCTGTGACCTGTTTGAGGTCCAACCGCAACCGATGGACGGCCAGGCCCCGTTGCTGAAGATGGTGTTCCTTCGCGAGGCGGTGGAAATGGTTGACCACGTTGTTGCTGCTCGATGAGTAAAACCCGGTGGTGAGCTGCAGCAACACTGTCTGGCGCGAACATATTCAGCATATTGCGGATGCCGAGCCTCAACCCACCAACATAACGCGACACCAATTGAGCCTGAGTGTCCCGTATTTTAACCCGATTGAGAAGACGATAAAAATCACGGGTATACTCGTCGACGGACCGAGCACCTTGTCGTAAATTATGAAGTTGCTGATAATAGTGCTTACGTAATTGAATGGCAGGAATTCACATTCAATGTGTTTCCAAAATTTAGCCAACAACTTGATTTTAGGTTTGCCCATCTGCCGGCGGGCCTCCGTGATGTGCAGCCACCAAGCGATGGCACTCCCAGGCAGGCGCGTGGCGACGAGGCCCACGCGATGACTGTCCGGGACCTCTTTGTAATCCAATACCGCCTCGACCGAGCCTAGCCAGTCGAGGAATTCAGCACCGTCGAGGCCCCCTGTAAATTCAGGGATCTCCACCCGAAAGGCCGACTCCCAACACCGTTCACCAGTCGCCGCCTCCTCCATCCGGGGCTCGTCCGCTCCGAACGGATTGTACTTCTCCGTGGCATCAGAGTCGACGCCGCTCTCCTCCACGCATGGCCCACGCTGCCTGCCGCCACCACGTGGATGATCGCGACCCCCTCGGCCTCCACGCAACCCCCCGCGACCGCCGGTTCTGCCATCGAACCCGTCGCGGTTTATGCTGTCGCGATTCGCTATCTGTTGGAGAACCATCCGGATGTTCGCCATGCCCTCGGTGAGGTCCTCAATTTACCGACCAAAACCCTCGTTTTGTCGCATGAGGGAGGCAATTGATGCATCCCGTCGATCGTCGGTCGGATCGGTCCTCTTCGGTGGCATCGTGGATCGTAGTTGATTGTGATTACCAACTGATGTAGCGCAGCGTCGAACAAAATAGATGAAATCTCTGAAACAGTAATTTTTATTTCCACAATAAACTGCGTTCCTAGCAGAAAAGAAGAGAATAAATAGAGTTGATGATCTCCTAAATTCCCTAACTTGCTAGACAAGTAAATAAAAATAAATATTCTCCTAATCTTAATCAACAAGATAAATAAGGAATAATAATAATAATAATAATAATAATAATAATAATAATAATAATAATAATAATAATAATGCAACTTAGATAATCAAATTAACAACGGAAGTCGATCGTATTTTTTCAAAAAAGCCATCGCGAACTCGTCTCCATCAATATGTATGATGTACGAATCTAGCGCCACATTAATTCATACACATTTTACTTCACATTATTATAAAAATAGAACTCTGCAAACTCAAATACTCTTTCATTTTTCTTAGAAAAGTAAAAATATATAAAAAGACAAATAAAATGGCAGTACAATCCAACGGCTCTAGTCCTTAGACTAACTCAACCCAACGGTCAAAACAATCAAACCATTTTAAATTTCACCTAAAAACCACAAAGGGTTCATATTTGGAAACTAGCCGTTACAGCATCTCGCAAAATCAAAAGAAATCACAATCTTTTTCATCAAAGAGAATTTAGAATCAATTTCATTCTTCAAGTTTTATTTCTTCCATAATATTCATTCTTACTATTTTCTTGCTGCTCTTCAGTTAAAAGAAATTTGAAACCTCCTCTCGCTCACAATGGCAGCTCATACAAACCGATCCCCTTCGCCACTTTCGTCGAAGCCCACTAACCCAAACCCAAGAAACTCTGAGATTCACTTGACCACACGGAGAAGTTTCAACGGAAACAGTTCCTTGAAGCCTTCAGCTCTCACAAATCCCAGAAGATTTGATCCATTAACCCCTGCGAATAGCCCATCAGGTTCCTCTGTAGAATAAAGATTCAACTTTTTTATATTTTGTTTTATTTTTCAAATGAATTGTGATGTTGTGTGTTTTTGTGTCTTCTCTCTGTTTCTTGATTTTTGTGGTAATAATGTTTAGGTTTACAGTTCGTTTCGGTTTTTTCATAAGCGGGGTTTGATCTGTTGCTTGTGTTGATGTGATTGGAAGCCTTGAGACCCATAGCGTTCCGATTTCTTTTCGAATTTTTGAATTGTTGTTTATGTTTATTTTGATGAAAATCCGAATTTCTTATGTGGGATCTGACTGTAATTCCTAATTTATGTTGTTTTTGCCTAAAAGATTGTGAAGGAAAGGAGAATAATGAAAGAGATCAAATCCCAAGAACCACAAAACTCCAATCCCCAGCAAAGGGCTCCAAAAACTTCATGACCCCAACGATTTCTGCTGCCTCAAAAATCACTCCATCGCCCAAGAAGAAGCCCTTCGTGGAGAGAAATGACCTTGTCCGAACCTCAATCTCGCTATCAGACGGTAAAGCCATGTTTTTCTCTAATGCTTCTGAAGATTTGGAGTCGAAATCTGACATGAACAAGAAAGTCCCAACTTCTTTGGACTTGAATTCCGCCGACTCTCCGGTCCCCAAGCCTTCTAAAAAAGTGACCTTTTTGGATGTTCCTCAAGAATCACTTTCAGATTCAGTGGTAACTGATTCTGATTGCACAAAAATGGAATCTTTTTCGAAGAACGAGAGCATTTTTTGTTCGCCCCTTTCGACTCCTATAGCCCCACTCGATGCCGATCCATCCATGCCTCCTTATGACCCCAAGACCAATTTCTTATCCCCAAGGCCTCAGTTTCTGTACTATAAACCAAACCCCAGAATCGAAATTCTCTTAAACAAAGAAAAGGGAATGGATGGTGGTCCTGACGATTTTGAGCAGACTGAAGGTATTTTCATGTCTGAAAACTTGTCTGAAATTTGTTCATCAGACTCTGAGGGCACAGAAGTTTCTGAGAAGGATTTGGTGATTGGATTAGACTCCTCGGAGACGGAAAAACTAGAAGCAATTGCCTCATCAGAATTGGTCAATTTAGAGTTCTCAGAAGTTCTTGGTGGTGATATTTGTGCTCCTAAAGACCCTGAGAAGGAAAAACTAGAAGCAATTGCCTCAGCTGATATGCTTGAAGGACATGACATGGAGGATGACCATTCTTTTCTTAACGAGATATCAAGTTCTGTCGAGAAGGATAAAAAGAAAAAACCACGGGGGAGCTCTCGATTCTTGTGTTTTTCTGTGGTTACGATGATGTTGTTAACCGTTGCATGTGTGTCGTTATCCGTCATGCGATCTCCTTCGTTTGAGGAGTTTGGGGTTATTAAAGAATTGACCTTTTCTGATTTGGGGCACTTGTACCACCAGTCGAGAGCTGAAGCTGCTACTGCTGATGCAAAAGTGATATTCGATCGGGTCATAAGGCGTGTGGATCAGCTCTTGGTTTACTCTACAGCTTTCATCTCAAAGATGGTTGATGAGCTTGGTAACGGGGAAAAAACTCAACTGGGTCCGGTGAAATATATGAACCTTTCTTCTGGCCTGGAAATTGATTCTTGGAATGGCGGGCATCTTTCAAACAGAAATGATGAGGTCGGCAAGAATTTAGTAGAGAATGCTGAAGATGATGACGATCTATATGAGGAGTTGGATGCTGAAATTGCAAATTTCGAAGAGGAACTTGAAGTATATGAAGAAGTCAATGATTTCATTGAGAATATTGAGGAACACGAGACACAAGAGGATGATGTGTCAGAAATCAAAGAGAAAATTCACTGTGACTCGTCTAGTTCGGCTTCTGAATATTCAGAAGACACTCAGAGCCAGGAAGAGATCATAGCAGATCAATCAACTTCAATTATTTCACAAGTTGTAGAAAGCGAAGTCGAAGCTAAAACCGAACCTGTTCCTCCTGAAATAATGGAAATCGAGAAATCCAGTGGTGACATCATCAATCACGGTCCTGATACTGCTTTGTTGGATCAAGAAAGCCTGCCGGATGATAATTCTCTAACCGAGAGTGTCCAGCGTTCGTTAACTCCAGAAAGAGGGTTTATTGCCCATAATTACCACACCATCGGAATATTTTCTTCCCTCTTTGTGGCTCTATTTGCTTTTACAGCCTATTTCTATGGTTACAGAGGAAATCCCAGTCTGAGTTCAGACAATGTTTTTGTTCAAGCCAACAACATTAGCAGCACCAAGAAACCAGAGAAAGCAAAGGCGGAGGCTGATGATGATGTCATGGACGTGTCACCGTGCTCCTCGGAAATGAGCAGCTTCCAAAAGAATGTGCCATCTTACACAAATAGCAAGAAAGAGATTAGGGGATTATTTAGTGAGGTTCAGAGTGTGGAGAGGAATGCAAGAAATCATCAGCCTTCAAAAAGGGAGTCTTTGGCCTCTTCTTCTTCAGAGTTTACCACGGGCTCGCCTTCGTATGGTAGCTTCACCACATTTGAGAAGATTCCACTCAAGAATGTGAGTAGTTGGACTTTTATCTACAATGTTATTATAATGTGGCTGGTTATAACTTGGTTTTTTTTTTTTTTTTATGTGTATTGCAGGCTACTAGGGACGAGGAAATTATAACTCCGGTTAGGCGGTCGAGCAGAATTAGGAATCATAGCCAGTTCACTTCTCCATGAGTTCTTCCACTCTGGGAAAAAGTTTGGAGTCGTTGATGTTCGTTTCTCGGTTCTATGTAGTGTTGTTGGTGTGTGTGACTTGGGGGGATTAGTTAGCATGAATTTCTGTATTATCACCAAGTGTAGTTGTGTGTGTGTGTGTAACTTGCTGCTCACATCTGCTGATGTGAAATTGGGCAAGGCCTGGTTTGATTGTGACTGCTGTTTTCTGGATTGGTCTTAGGTTTGAGAACCAAACAAAAATGGAACATTGTTAACAGCCGACTTAGTTTTAACAGTTCACTGCTTTTGTTGTTGGTATCTATAATTTTGGTTGTGTCCATTTTCAACTGTTCTTTTTTTTCTTCGTCTGTTTTTTTCTTGTTTAACTGTGGATCAAGAAATGGACCAGTCCCAAAAAAAGACAGTAAAAATCTCAAACATTAACGGGTAAAATTGTATCACAATTTGGGACCCATTATATGTGAGGCCTCAATCTCATATCATGATTGGATTTTCATGTAAATTCTACCTGCATCTTTTCCCGTCCTTCTGTATGCAGTCATAGTCCCTTTTCCAGTCCTTTTGTACGCAGTCACAGGTCTCAGTAGTAGAAGTTTGTTTTTTTCTCCTTTTTTTCTTTTCAATACCGAGGTTCCAGGCTTGCGCTACTCTTCGAGGAAATAGCTCCGGCCGGACTACTCTTCGAGGAAACAGCTTCGGCTCCTCATAAACTCCCTCCAATTAAATCGCGGTAGCCACGCAATGTCTTCGAGGAAACAGCTCCGGCCCATCAGAAACTGCCTCCAATTAAATCGCGGTAGTCACGCAATGGCTCCCGGGTACCTAATACCCTCAACTACCGCGCACAAGGAGTTGATCCCCAAGTGATTGCACGCTTACCCTCTCAGCTCCAAATTGGCCCCACCTATCCAGCCACAGGGGTCAACTCCAAATTGGCCCCACCTATCCAGCCACAAGGTCCAACTGAAATGATTGCTTCATGCTGGCACCCCCAACTTCATGCTGGCCCCACCTATCCAACTGTTGGTTCCCACCGAATTTCAGTCTTCCACACTGCCGCTTGTAATTGTTCCACCATTTACGCTCCTGGGGCTTGAACCCATGACCTCATGTCATGGGTACCTCACTCTTAACCAGTAGGCCAAGTCGTATTATTAACACATAATGTTGTAATTATCAACACAAAATTGACCAAATACTCTACAAAACAAAATGTTGTAATTATTTTGTGTAAATACTCTACAAAACAAAATGTTGTAATTATCCACAAAATTGTCCAAATACTTAATTGAAAAACATAAAATTTCATTCACCATTCACATAACCATGATTGTATTGACCAAATACTTAATTAAATAATATAAAATTTTATTAACATGAAGATTACATATGCTCAATTCAATAAACAGACTACTAAATTCTGAATCTGCTACAATCTTGACAAAACCATTAAAGCCAGACAATCTTGACAAAACCATTAAAGCCGTCATGGTGTGGAGTAGTCCCACGCTGGAACGTTTAACTTTGCAGCTATCTTTCCTTACATATTACTCACAATTATACAAAAGGTAAAATCCATATTTTCGATCAAGATAAAAAAAATAATAATAATTGTATTCGTATTTTTACATATTTTTCTCAACTTCTATATACATTGTAAAAAACTAAAAACAAAAAATACATATTTCTTTGCGAATTTAATATGCAGTTTGTGAGTATGAAAGTTATATATATAATAACATTTAAAAAAGCTATAGATGAATTTTAAAAAACTATAGATGAAGTTAGATGGAGTAACATTTAAAAAACTAAAGATGAAGTTAGATGGAGTGTGTATAGATAATAAATTCAATCTAACCATCTTAAACATAAATGTAAAACATTCCTATGTGAATATATTTGCAAAAAAAATTCATAACAATTATACGAAAGACTTTGAATTAATTTATTAACATTATAATAGAATATTTTATAAAGTTTAAAATAAAAAACAATAATTTGTTATTATTATTTTAACATGTGTTCTAAAATTTTTATGTGTATGAATTATTAATTTATAATTAATTAATTATTTTTAATAAAAACTCTAAAATAATAAAATAGTATGACTATTAATTATTAATATATAATTAATTTAATCTATATTTTAATCAAATAATAATGACACTAAAACTTAAAAATTTGTTAAATAAGAGGTAGTAATGAAAAGTTGTGAAAAATATTCCGACAATATTCTTTTTTGAGATTGAGTTTTTCGGTTGAGAAGAATTATCTTTGAATGAGTTTTTTGGTTGAGGAAGAATTACTTTTTGGTCAGAGCTTGGAGAAGAAGTGACTCGAGAGTTGGGTGGCCAGTCAGACGTATATTTACAGTAAATGCTAAATAGTGAACCCATACTTATTTTTGACAAGATGGTTTGTGTGTATCTGTATCTATGATTATTTTACATATTTTTTTGAACTTTAACCCATAAGAATATTTTGTAGTTATTAACTGAGAGTAAATTGCAATTTTAATCATATATGTTTCACTACATGAACTTTTTCGTCGAATTGCGTTTTTGATAGTCTTGTATGTTTGCAAAAAGGTTACAAAAATGTCCTTTTCCTACACAAGGGACGAAATTGAAACTTTTTTTTGCAAAACATAAAGGACCTTTTTGTTGCGAAAATTACCTTTTTGTAACTTTTTTGCAAACATACGGGAAGAAAATCAAAAAAACAATTCGAAGAAAACGAAAAAGTGAAAGTAGTGAAACATACAATACTAAAATTGCATTTTACTCTATTAATTGACTTAAATTCCATATATTGATTGCTCATTCCGCAATTAGTCTAGGCTTCTTGAACCATAGGAAGGTATAATTTGTGACATTGCAAATGTTAAATTCCGACTCAACAGAATACAAGGCAACAACATAAGACGCCACAGCCTTCTGACTCAAAGCATCAGCTACATCATTGTGTCTCCCAAACAAAATAAAACTTACCCAAAAACTCTTGCCAGTCTTGTTTCGGGGGCAGCTTCTTTCGAGTCCGGAAGTAGGTGTTCGTTGCATTGTCCTTCACGACTGTAATTGTACATCCATAAACATCGTATAGTACTTAATATTAATTTATAAGTACACCTCCTGAACTGAGCTTCCTGATGAATAACGGGCACAACTATTTTATATATTTAGAGAATATATAAAATATTATATAATCACGAGTGATAATCAAATTATTTTCATTAGGGTGGTGGAATAGTCTACATTTTCAAACAAGAAATTTAATGCACACCAAATTTATAAATTTAATCATGTACACTTTTTCAAGCCATCGGGAATGGAATATGGACCACGTCCCCTTGATTACACAAAGTGTCCAAGGGTACAAACTCTATCAAGAACACTAATTATCACAAAACAAAACACAAAAATGAGACATCAACTCCATATAGGAAACTAAATATCAGACACCGCTTGGCTAAACTAAAAAAAACAAAGAAACACAAAATAACAATAACAAAATAAATAACAAATTTAATAAGATCTTGCTAAAATTAAAAAGAAATTCTATAAATCTACAAAGCAATAAAAAAAAAAAGGTCAAATGTACTCAACAATTTGGTAAAATAACATTGATGTCACCCTGTCTTCAAAAGCAATGCAAGAAGCTGATTAGATATAATCTTATTTTTTCACATAACGAGTGTACATTTGTTATATATTACATTACAAACATATAAGTCTCATTATTTTCAATTCATCAACTCAATCCTACAAGCATTTCATCAAACACATAGAGTTCACCTTACAAGCATTTCATCAAACACATAAAGTGCACCAATTCACCAACTCAATCCTACAAGCATTTCAACAATTAACCTCACTTTCATGCATAACACATATTAAACAATTACCTCACTTTCATCTCTTTAAACACAATACACTACAAAATAACTACAATATCAAAAAATTCTACTTCAACATCATTCTTCTTCTTCAATTAACACATAACACATAAACTCATTTTTCTTCTTCAACTTAACAAATCTTACCAACATTGACAATAGAGAGTTCCATGAGAAATAGCTGAGAGAGAGAGCCAAGAGAACGTGAGAGAGAGCCGACAGAGAGAGCGAGAGAGCGTGAAGAGAGAGGGAGCGAGATTTTTTC